TGTTAGAATAAAAGACCAACGCTAGAGGGGGGGTGAATAGCGTTTGATCGGAGAAATCGCAGGAATTAAAAATTTAAAAGAGAAGTAAAGAGAAGAGTAAGAGGCACACCGAATTTTACCCTGGTTCACCACAACTTGTGGCTAATCCAGCCTCCCGAGAGACTCTCTCGAGCTACACTACTAACTCGTTAAGCTTACGGGTGCTTAACAAACCGTTACAACTTGAGAGTTCGAGTCACACGAACCTCAACGAATCCTTCAAAGGAAACAGACCTTCCTTTGAATCAACCGAGAGAGATACTATCTCTCAACGTGTCTAAGAACACAAGTACACTCAAGAACGAGACTCTCTTATAGAGTAGATTATGAGTAAACTAAGTACGCTCAAGAACAACTCAACCTTCACACAAGTGGCTCTAGAAAGCTATGGAAAATGATGATATTTGAATGCAATGAAAGTATAGATGTTGTGAAGTGAATTGGTGAGAAAAGCATACCCAAACACCCCTTTTTATAGTGCCAAAGAAGGCTCCAACGGACCAATGCATTAAAGGGGTGATTGGCTTGATTTATGGGATTGAAAAGATTTGGGATCTGCAGAATATTGGCTTCCCATCGATGTTTAGACTCAACCATCGCTGGTAAGCCAATTTTTCTTCTTTTTTGAAGTCAACGGTCACCTACCCATCGATGGGTACAAGCTTCCCATCGCTGGGTGGAAGGTTGACTTCCAAACAAGGAAAGAATCAACCTTTAATGACCACCAACGGTCATGCCTTCCCATCGATGGTATACCCTTACCATCGCTGGGTTCCCATCGATGGGATAGGCTTCCCATCGCTGGGCAAGGTCGTTCTGCCTTGTGGTAATTTTGCACCAAGGCTCTAACAGCGATGGGTGGAACTTCCCATCGCTGTTTGGCATGGTTCTGGAAACTGGTTTGGCTGAGGGGCCGCTTACCCATCGATGGGAAGATCTTCCCATCGCTGGGTGAGTGGTTAGTCAAGAACCCATGGTTTTTGCCTTAACCACGGCCTAGCCAACCGATGCGAAACCCGACCGAAAAATTCAAAGTTCTCCAAAATACAAACCAAGTGTTTAAAACACTTATTTGATGTATTTGGCTAAAAAATCGAGTAAGACACTTTAAAAACCACGTCATTTAAGTGAAAACCACGGCTAGCCAAGTTTTATGCCGTTTTGAATGATTTTTGTCAAACGACCAAAAGCGAAAGATGGTTTTCAAGGTGTTTTTGTTGGAGAACCGTTTAAACATGCCAAAGAGTAAAAACCAATCATAAAAAGTTGAAAACCACTTGGTTGGTTCGGACGCCAAAAACCATAGCCGATAACCGAGAGCCGAACGCCAGTTTCTGAAACCCGAACGCCGGATGGCTTGGTTTTTGGTTTGGGCGAACACCAAGTGTTTTTAATGACTTAAACATGTTTGAAAAACATTTTTATGATTTAAGATGTGCAATGAAGGTTTTTAGCCTAAAGAGCCAAGGTGTAAAGATTGGGTCGGTCTTGATCACGATGAAGACTGACTCAACGACACTAAGACTAAGGTCTTCGTTCTTGGTCTTCTTTTAGCTCTTGTTCTTGTCTTCCTTCTTCGCCTTGTATATTCAAAGTTTGACTTGATCACGGCGGTTTGGCATTATCAAAACCTGTCATAAAAACAAACACGGCTTTAGTACGAAAACGTGACATGCCCGTGTTTCAACATTTTCCCGACCTTCCACCAGTGGTTCGACAGGTGGTGCTACGCTTTGCAGCCATCTTCCACGAAACCAATCAATGTTCGCCCCTATCGTTACCCTTATTTTCAAAAGGGTGAGATCGGGCGGCAGGTACGGGAGATGTTGCAACAAGGCATTATTCAACCGAGCCAGAGTGCTTTTTCCTCGCCCGTCCTACTGGTGCGCAAGAAGGACGACACTTTTCGGTTTTGCGTTTATTATCGCGCCCTGATTGCGGCCACGGTTCCAGACCACTTCCTCATACCCACAACAGAGGAGCTCTGCGATGAACTTGGGGCTGCCCGTTTTTTCACCAAATTGGATCTTTGGTCGGGGTACCACAAGATTCGGATGCATCACGACGACATCTCCAAAACCGCGTTTCGCACCCACGATGGTCACTTTGAGTTCTTGGTGATGCCGTTTGGCCTGAAAAATGCCTAGTCAACATTTCAGGCGGCAATGAATCACCTATTTCAACCGTACATGCGCCACTTCGTGATAGTATTTTTTGATGACATCTTGGTATACAGTGCCTCTCTTGAAGAAAGAAGAAATAAAAAGTTTCCTCTGACTAAAAGCCATGAAGTTCTGTCTCACCGCATCGTCTAAGAATTTGAGAAGGTTATTAAAATAACCGTCAATGTTTAAAAGACCAATGGGTCTATTGTGTAACCCTTAAGAAGCCCACGAGATCAAGGTAAACAAACCTTCCATAGTGTCAACTCCTCCGGGAAGAAGAATGAAAGCTTCCACAGCATGATTCATCTCAAAATATTTGTAGTAATTGCTGGAAACTGTGTGCTCTATGCCATATGTAAGTCCGTAGACCCGTCATGTTGCTATGTACCCAGGAATGAAACCTCTAACGAGACCACCATTGGTAAAGACTGTTGAAGCAACAGCTCCTTGTAGGCCAACGTTGCCTCCTCCATAAGCAAGACTAATTCTTCGCCTTATCAATTCTCTTCCTAAATCTACTGCGGTAGCCATAAACTTTGGATTTCTACCAAGAGAATGACTGCCAAGAAGACCAACGAATCTTATGTTGTAAGGAAGTGTTCGAGAAGTTCCTTCCATAATGTGAGAATGTGAGATACTCTTCCCATAATCGTGATATATATAGTCTCTAGAACCTGACCATTGATGGAGAAGTAATTATCACCAGCCAAAATACCTACAGAAAAGTGAATTCGCTTCAACTATCTATAGACAAAAGTGTACTCATCAATATTGTAGTCTGCTGACAGTGTGACATATTGAGACCGAGGAATAGTTAGATTTGCTATCCTGAAACACGTTCAAATCCGAGACAAAAAGTCAAAACAGTTATTTCCTAAGACAACGACCTCTTGAGTAACTTCCAAAGAGTGAAACCTTGAAGGAAGAAAACATACGATTAGTAACGGTAATTCGCAAACGCTATCTTGATATCTTGTGACTCATATCCTTGAATTACTCCAATTTACTGTATTAACTACACCCTTGAAACATCCCGCTTGATCAATCTTGAAAAGATTGAATCCCATTCTTTGTGTCAAAATACTAAAACCACGATTCTTCATTAAACCAAAGATGCTTCATGATACCAGCCTTGGAAACTATACTCTGTGAACTACGTGACTCGATCACAATAATAAAACTACCCTGACTTGAACATTATGTTAAACCTCTTTAGGGAACTGCTACGAAATAGTTAATGCGATTGCGTTATCTATGAAGATTATTATTGATAATGATCAAGAAACTCTGTTTTGACCCTAACAAGGGAATGTATGTACAACGACCAGAAAAGAAATGACGTCAGAATGATCAAGCTGAATCATTCAAGAAAAAATCCCGAATTTACATACGATGTTGGTGTAAGAACTCGTACGATTCCTTACTCTTTGAATTCGTGAATTGAATCACATACCGAAGACATTCTCTTCTTCCCTTGAAACAAGATCAACCATAGTGTTACAATTGAACCTGTCGCTATCATGAACATATATATATATATATATATATATATATATATATATATATATATATATATATATATATATATATTCTTCCAAATTGATGAAAGAAATTTGAAATACAACAAGACATATATGATACGCTACTCGAACGTCATCACCTATGAATACAAAGACTCATTAATGATAATGAGAGCTACCATGAAGTGAATGAAGAAATATTCCAATGTAAATCGATGATCAATCGACAGTATTTCCTCATAAATGATGCTTCATATTCTGAAAAATCATGAACCAATAAAATCCATTTAATGTTATCTATGAGTCGTTGCTAAAGATGTCTTAAAGACTTAGAAGATTACACTATGACGTATGAATTGAAACAAATCCCTAACTATACCTTCCGTTAATATAATGATTCGAAACTACAAGGGCTATTGAAGAGCTTTCGATCAAAGAATATTGTTGATCAATGACGTATAAGCGAGATCTGTGAACAAACAAAATTATGTGCAAATATGTCAAGTATACTCCAAAATATGATGTAAAGGAAACTTATTTAATTATTTTTGACTTCAAATGGGAATCTGTAAAAAGATGTATGAATAACTTTGTTAATCTCTCGAAGATAGAACGAGTATGATGACAATAACGGTTTGAGAATAAGTATTCGTAGGGATAATGACCTAATCATAATGAATGAACATGACGGAGTCATGATTAAACAAAAATACAACAAAATATTGATCG